GGCCAAACTCTTTTCACACATAGTATTTCAAGCCAAATACCCCCAACCTATACCTAAGCATTTAGGTTTTAGCTCTAAGGGCAGAACTTTTCACTATTAAAATTTCAACATGCTATTTCCAATCCAATTTCTAACCTGTCCTTTTGAAACTTGTTCCTGCCAGTCATTTGCAAATCTGATAAACGTATCTTCCACCTCTTATCCAAGTCATCAATTAAATGTTCAGAAATTTGGTGGTCACATCTAATAGTAGAAGCATAATCTCAATTATGAACTTAAGTCACTGGACAACAGATAACCACAGCCTAGTATCTAATATTTATTCCCCTAAGTCACTGTGGAAGAAGAGCATCCAACAGCCCTCCTAATATCCATAGGGAGAGAGCTTCGTGACTTCTGGGGCCCTAGGCTTTATGGGTAATAATCAGTATACTAACATCTAAGTTATCTAACATATATAGTATAGTATACTAACAACTAACAATCTGTAGCTCCAACAATACAGATATGATCAGACTCTCACCTGTTAGGAAGCAACCAGCTGATTTTGTATCTAATGTAGCTTCTGGGAGGCCTTCAAAGCAGCTCCATGTAGATGGAATTACAGTAGTCCAATTGCAAGGTGACAAGGACATGAGTGACCATTGCCAGCACATCTTGTTCCATAGTGGGCCACAGCAGGTGCACTAAGTGAAACTGCACAAAGGCTCTCTTGATCCTGGCTTTCATCTGCTGCTCCAGGCACAATTCCAGGAGCGGAGTCCAGGAGTAGTACAACCCCATCTGCAGCCAACAATGGAAATATGCTGGGATTGGATGATTTCTGGATCAATAGTCCATCTTGCCAGAATTAAGCTTAAACCTGTTTCTTCCCATCTAGTCCTGTACTATAATTTAGATACCCCACCAGGAGTTCCGGTTTGGCCTGGGGTGATGTACAACTGCGTAGTGTCAGCATACTGATATTTTATCCCATGCTGATGGATGACCTCCCAGCTGCTTCATTTAGATGTTAAGCAAAGTAGAAGGAGAGCCAGACCTGAAGCATCCCACAATGGTCTCTTTCCCCCCACTTCCAATTGGAACTGCCCACTTAGGGAGGAGGCTCAAACAAATCCCAAATGAAATTGCAAGAGCTCATCCATCAGCTTTTTGGACTCTGCCCAGACAGTGTCTAATTCTGATGATTTCATCCACAAAATGCTTGGTAAAAATTCACAGTGGCCTGCCAAAAAGTTTTTGCAGGTCTGGGTCATGTTAAACCAAACTGGGTCATGTTAAACTACACAGTAAGTTCAGATAAATATGTTTCACTGCCCTTTCACTGCCCACCACCAAGGCAAACCCGGGTTCTTTTCTATGCTTGAATTTGCTATTTGTCTTCCACTTTTGTAATTTCATTTCCTAGAACTCTTCAATGAACCAAGAGAAGCCCCTGAATTGTTGAATAAGGAAAGGCAATCTTTTCCAGCAATTTCCATATTCTAAACATCTCCAGCAAGTCCTGAAAACCAGAAGGGTCCAGGTCTATGGGGCAGACCACTGTAAGTTCTCCCACTCCCACAGAGACTGGCTTTGCCAGCAAGACTCATGGTCACCAAAGACTAAACTGTCCGTAACAAAGAACTGATGGTAATGTCCCCCCTGTCAAATAAAGGACCACTTGGTCCAAGTGCTCTGAGATAAGTGCCAGGTCAAGAGTATGGCCTCCAAATGGGCAGGGCCTATAATGACCTATGATAAGCTTATGGTTGACACAGAGGCCATGGAATCCTGAGCCAACTCTGAGGGAGGGGGAGGGAGGGAGGGAGGGATGAAGGTTGGTTGAAATCCCCCATCACTAGTGTATGTGGGAATTCAACCACTAACCTTGCAGAGGTCAAGAAGCTTGAGCAAGGATGCTACGAAGCAACAGGGTGGGTAGTGGCAGCATTGCTAACTTATCCTTCAAGTTGAACTTCACAAACAAGGTCTCACATCTAACAATCTGTGCTGGAGTCATGGGCAACAAAACACCCCAAACCCAAGGAGGAAAAATTTGAAATGGGAACCTCCTCCTTCACTTTCACTCGATCAGATTGCAGTAATACATTGCGTCTTCCCTCTCATCCGTAACCCAAACCATAAGAGCTCCCTTCACAACATCTGCGCATATCCACTCATATCTACCCTTCCCTCACCAACCCAAACCTGGCATCCCTCAACCCCACTAGGGTCTAAGGAAAGGATAGATATGCTACCCCCTTTACTCTTATTCTGGGCATGGTCTCCACATCCATTCCCTGCTTCTCACCCAGAAAAATGCCAATCTACCACAAGTCCCTCATACCAGCTAGTAAGTCCCAACACATCCTTGCAGGAAGAAGCATGGAAAGCTCTTCAGTCAAGGGATCTGTAATCACTAACTTTAGCAAACAAGTTCAGGAAGTCACAGTCAGGCAAACCAATTCATGAGTCTGTACTATGAACATTTTCATAGATTGAAAAGATGCATCTTATACTATGAAACAACTACAAACTGAAAACAAAATTGTTCAAATCATGTTTTTATACAAATCTGGTGGGTACGTTCTTGGAGTGCTGTAGTTTTTAAATGGTCATATCTCAAGAAGGATATTGTAAAACTGAAACAAATACAGAAGTGGGAAGGTGAAGAAGTATGGCTGGAATACTTGCCTGATAAGTGAGGTATGCTACAAGTGAAGTGGGCTCTTTTGTTTTTGAACAGAGACTGAAATTCCTTAAATTCTACATGGTATGGAAAAAGAAAAGACACAATTCCCCCTCCACCACCCCGCAACACACAGACTAAATCTTGAAGTCATCCAACAAAAGGCATAATGTGAGATTTAGGACAGACAAAAGGAAATGCACACAAATAATGAATGGAATTATGAGATAGATACTAGCAGATGGCATAGAAGATTACACAAATTTAGGAAGGAAAGATTAATGAGTAGTTACTATTTATTTTGGCAACAAGAGTAAATGTTGCGGAGAAAAGGCAGAAAAGATTTTCTACAGTCCTCCATTCCAACTCTGAAGACCTTCTAGAAGCATCTGGTTGACCACCAGAAAACAGTACACTGATATTAATTCATTCTATTAGTTCAAGGTGGTATTTAAATATGCCATTATGAAGATTTACATTTTATTAACCAATTGACACAAAATTTTGAGGTTGTGATACATCTACACAATCAGCAAATTTATTTCAGATTTGGGATGCTTTTAAGGCTTACAGTACATTTACAGCTGGTTATTGCATATACTTTATGGAAGAAAACAATCAATGCAATAATTTGGAAAAGTTAAGAAAACTTTTGAGTATTTATTCTATTTTGGAATGATTCAGTGCTTTTACATCTGCTAACTTGTAACATGGTTACTTGTAATGCACTGGATATTGAATAGTAAATTAAACCTTATAAAATAGTATCGAATAAGATGGAAAAATGTGGGGAAAGAGCAACCTATTTCTATAGTTAAGGATCCTCAGGATAAAGTATATAATGGTTCCTATTTAATAAGTCAACATTTAAATTTTTATACTCAACTCTTTAGCCCTGACTCAGTGTTTCCCAATGGATAAAAAATGGAACCATAAAAAAGGGTGTAAGTTGCAACAACCTAGATTTTGTTTCAGGAAAAACCTCTTGATGGTGAGATTTGAACAGCAATGGAACATTTTTCCTAGGAAGGTTGGGGAGAGGTATCTAAGAAGAGGCTGAGTAGCTACCATTTGAAGACAATTCAATTGGTTTTCCTGCACATTGCAGAGGATTGGACTAGATAATAATTGTGGTCAAATCAAGTGAATGGACCTCATGTAGATAAGGCCCATAATGACCTGAGATAAGCTGATGGTTGTCATGGAGGTCATGAAATCCTATGCCACAACTCTGACCCCACAAGGCAGGCAGGCAGGCAGGCAGGCAGGCAGGCAGGCAGGCAGGCAGGCAGGCAGGCAGGCTGGCTTGATATTCTCCAAAAGTAAGTCCATGATTCTATGAATGCAATTATAGTTTTGCATTGTTGGAATGAATTTACACTTCAGATTTGAAATCCTGGACTGAAAAATGTTTTCACTTACAGCCTATGAATTGGGCTATGAATTTAATAAATTTATCAAGATGTTTCTGTATGAGCAAAGCTTAATTTGTTATAACTGAGCTGCTTTTGTGTATGTACTGCAGTATTTGTGTTACATTTTTATACACACACTTTTTACAGTGTTTTTCTTCCCTGTTTTTGGTATAATACGCCAATAAAAATATTTTTTAAAAAATTGAACTAGACAGCTTGATTCAGGAAAAATCATCTGATGTTTTAGTTGCTTCAAACAGGGGCAAAACTTTCATAAAGTAGAAAATTTATCTTGGATCCCAAATGTATGGTTGAGGATAGCAAGTAGGTATGACAAAGATCATCATAAACACATGGAAACTATTAACCAAGATATAAAGTTAAATATTGAAAATAATGGAGGCAAAGATGAAGATTTATGGGTATGAGATGAAGAAAAATGAGATGAAATCAGTCATAATCAATGGAAATATTCTAACCATGACACCTTGGCTGAAAATGCTGGTATGAAATGAAAAGACAGATTTAAATCAGTACTGTATTTTGGTATCTGTGAAAAAGAGAATACAAGAATTTATGAAGTAAGTTAACCACACTGCCTAATCTTTAAAAATGCACATGCAGAAATATATAGGAAAAATAAGACTAAGACTGTTATTTGTTTTATTTATTTAAAGTAAAACTTTTATTGACATTATTCATTAAAAATCAACTCCCACTTGTGATGTTTCCAACCTCCTTCCAATTTTCTCTGTTAGAAGTTGGCAAGAATTGAAATAACATGAATTCTTTTCCAGCCTGCATTAGAAAATACTGGCTTTATAATGCTTTATTTCTAAGAAAGCCACGCAAAAATGAAGTATATCTATGAAATAATCAGTTTAATTAAGTTAAAAAAAATTAAGAGAGTCACATGTGGTTTGTTTGGAATTTTTATTTCTTTAAAATAATTCATACAAATGGATACAGTCACAAACATGATTTAACCCAAAATATTGCTAGCCTACTACATTACTGGGAAGGAATCCATGTAGGCAATGAATTTTTTTTACTTTTCAGTAGCCCTAGTGCCTTTCTCAGTCAGTCTCTCTCTCTCTCTCTCTTTCTCTCTTTCTCTCTCTGCATCCCAGCAATAATATATACTTTAACTGGTGACAAAAAAGCATGACCCCTTGTTTATACAAAAACTTTTTGCACCTCAAAATCTCTTTCAAACATCTTCATTCTGAAATATGGGAAATTTATGCCAAAATCAGGAGAAAGTGTTTGTATTTTATTAAATTATTCTAAAAAATAAGACAAGAAGGTAGAAAAAACAATGCACTGTATGGCAGAGAAAGAAAAATGGGTGGGCAGGTGGGTGGGAACCATTGTCCTGAGAAGTTCATCAACTGCCTCATTTTGGGGCATTTGTTAAACATATAAAAACAAAAAAGTTTTCAAATCTCAAAACTGGTTTGTCAAATGCCTCTCTTATGTTTTTGTTGTTGACAGCCGAGCAAACAAACCTTGGTTAATGTTCTAAAAACTGTACACAGACAAGTACATTCATGATATAATTAACTACTAACTTCTCTGGCTTAACAAAGAACCCACAGGACACAGAAACCGTGATTCAGGTCACTGGACAGGGACAAACTACATTTTATATGGAGGAATAAAGTTTTCAAATCTTCTTTCCATCTCCCACCATTTCTCATTATTATACTGCATATTGGACCAGTTCCTAAAAACATGAATGACCTGTCTCCAGGTGCTTGTTGTGGTTCGGCATCTGTTCCAAGTCCAAATGTTTTACCACGCACTTTCCAAAGTTGCGACCACCTTGTTGGGAATGATATTCTTGTAGGCTACAATTGGTCACTGGGGTGGTCTCTATCAGCTTCAGGTTTCACTGTCTGGCCGGGAGAAGGAGCATGGGGAGGATGAGCTACTGGAGGCAGCCCATGTGATAAAGACATGGCGTTAGGGACAATTCCTTCCACAGCTGCTGGGATGCCAGGTGGAGCCACACTTACAACACCAGGAGGGTACCTGCTGAGAGAGGGGAAAAGGAAGATCTGTCATACCTATGGACCATGGCTTTCACTGAACTGAAAGACTTCTGAAGAAGTCTCAATCCTGAGACTGCATCACCTACTCTATTGCCAGTATATCTAAGGGCTCTGGGTATGGTAGAATGTTACAAAGTTGAGAACGGTTGTTTCCCATTTTGGAATACGTGGGAGGTGATGGAAGTGGAGTGTCTTACCTGTAAGCAGCGCCATTGAGCTCCGGGTGAACAACTCCTGGATCCATGCTCGCCCAGTGTGTAGCTGTGGTCAAGTGTTCTTTGTTGACACAGTTTTTCAGACTGTCTGGAATACGACCTACAGAAGAAGTAAATATCACCACATAAACAATGCAACTGGGGCTATATGAAAACCGCATGTGTGTAACAGAAGCATGGTCAACATGTTTTGGCCACAGCCAACACCAACGTTATGGCTGTACACATTCTTTTCTTCTTTCTAAAGCTTGCTAAAGTTTATCATCTTTTGTGCCCTATAAAGAGATGAAATCTCCAGACAGCTTGCAAGAACTTTGGTATCAATTTCATTTTGCAGCACTTGTGCTACAGAGCTTGTGTTGAGATTATTAAAGCATTATTTACACCTTTATTTTCCCCTCTTCGAAATACTATGCATCCAAAGTCCCACTCTCTTTGGATGGAAGAAGGGCTGTTGCATTCTTCCAATGGGGACAAAGTGGCTTATGGGGACAACATGCATCATAAACACACCAAAAGGCGGGAAAGTGTTGGGGAGTAGACTAGCCTTGGCATTCCCTGTCTGGGCGTTAGGGCCTATCTAGCCTAATCAGCAAAGGAATCTGAACTCATTTCAACAGCTTTACTTCTTTCCAAAACCGCCCACCCCTTTGCTGGTCAATAAAAGCGAATGGATCAGCAGAGTAGTCCTAGCAGGGTAGATGGTAGATAATCCATATAAAGTTACAATTGTTTCCTGTGGCCCCTTTCCCCCATGTTTCTGGTCTTCTCCTTGGTTGAGCCTTTACAAATTTTCTTCCCAGTGCTTTCAATCAAAGGAAATTAGCTGATAGCTTCAAGGCTGTCATTGTTGTCCTCGCTCATCAGAGGCATGCGGAAGAGCTTCAGTTCCTGTAGACAGAAGGAATTCCTGAACCTACACCAACACGTCCCTTTATATGCCCTATTGCTGGCTGAGGAGTAGTAGAGGTTATTTTCTGCTACCCCAGTGAGAAAATCTCTGGCAGTGGTCTACCATTCCTCCTTCCACAGAGACATACGGCTAGAGGCCCCAGGTCTGAATAGAGCCCCTAAATTATTCCTCCAATTAGTTCTGTCCAATTCTGGACAGAAGGGGCAATTATTAAATAAATAAATGATCTTATTCAACTCGGCATACATGGTTTGTGGTTATGGAATCCCCATGATGTTCATATAGGACAACCCTTATAGCATCGGAGGGACCCCCCCACCTGAAGAATAACTTTAAATAATTGCCAGAATATTGAGATTTCAAAATTTCTTTGCTTTTGGGGGGGTGGACCTGAAAAGGGTGCTGACCCCTGACTCAACATTTTTGGACAAAGGAACCATTGACACAAAACTTGTGCAATTTTAAAAGTTCCAAGGTCACAAAGTTCCCTTCTAACGTCCTTTCTAAGGACAAGTGTCATGAGGGACAGGTGAAATACGACAACTGGAATACAAGTTATATCTCTCCTTACACATTAGAATTGTACCTAAATGTTACCATTAATAAAGTGTGGTTCTTTAGTTAACCTAGGCCCATCTGGTCTGTTCGGTACTGCAGAAGACAGAAGAATCGGTGAGCACATTAGGCCAAGGAGGTCACTTAAAAGAACATGGTTGGCAACCTGTGATTGCTCTCCTGATCTCCCGCGCTGCTTCTTCTCGCATCTCTATCGAGGCTTGCTCACTGTACCAGGCAGCATGGGGTGTACAGATGAGATTTGGTGCATCCTTCAAAGGGCCTTGGCTAAAGCTGAGGAAAGCAAATCACAAGCCATTGCATCTTCCTGAATAAAATTTCTTGCGCGTGCACGTTTTCTGAAAATTATGTCATCTAACTCTCAAGCTCTGCTTTGTTGCCAGTTAAAATTCAATCTGGATGATCCAGACTTCCATGTTGGCTCTCTCAATACCATCATCAGCCTGGAGAACAACATGATATTTCTGTAAGGCAGCTTTCCTCAAGCTGATGTCCTCTAAATGGGTTGGGCATCAATTCCCATACTGGCTAGGGAGTTATGGGAGTTGATATCCAACACAGTTGGAGGGTACCAATTTGAAAATGAGGGCTATAAATATTTAGGCAGTCTGAAGCCCAAAGACTTTTAAGTGTTCAATGAGTTTACAATAAAGAAGACAAGATAGAAACTTGATAAAAACAGCCACTCAGTTACGCTAACTCTGTTGTAACACAAGAAATTTGTAGTTTAGCACAACAGCTTCTTTTTACAATTAACTCGTAAGTAGATTTGGCTGATCTCAAATAGCTAAACAAATTTGGTCCCTACTTGTACTTGGATGGGATATGATCAGGAATCCCAAAGCTAGAGGCTAGACTGGGAAGAAGAAAACACCCTAGAAATACACAATGGCAAACCATTTATGTAATATTATCAAGGAAACTGCCTGGACATGTCCACACAGTGGGAGTCAAGCTTGACTGGAAGACAACTCCTTTTTTAAAAACTTGATTTAAACCTTTTTTTTTTTTTTAAACCTTTAACCTGATTTTAAGGGATTTGGAAATGTCAGAAGAGATGAGACTTTAATGAATGAGTTAGCACAAGGTTTTCCTTACAGAATCCTGAGAATGATGAAAAGGAATAAACTAACCTTATTTTTTAAGGGATCTGTTCCTCACAAACTCTTTTTTGACTGACTTCACGGAAACAGTCCAGTTCAAGGTCATCTCCCAGCTTCTCTATGGTGTCCAAGTCTGTATTTTTAGAAATTTTGACCCTTGAAGCTACTCAGTCCAAGTTTATGAGAGCTATCCTCGCAATCCCAGTATGTATTAAGAATATGTTTAGAGACCAGCCTAGTCTCAGGAGATGCTAGAACGTGTTACTATCTTTTTAACCTCTGGCTAAACTTAATTTTTTTCCCAGTGGATCTGGCCCTGCTGGTTCTTAAAGCCACTTTACCACTTTAAGTCAACCTGGTTAAATCAAGTTCTTGGCAAGCTTCCCACCTAGGGCTCTTTGCCCATTAGGCGTTGATAAAAACACCACAAGCACTCTTAAACAATGTTTTTGGGATACTGATTTTCAGATCAATCTGGTTCCCAGCCTTGCAGCATGTGGGGTTATCTGCAATGGGTATGTGCCAGCTTCCTATCTCTCCTCTGTACAGTTCTGAAATTTTGCCAGACCTCCACTTTGCCCAGGCTGGATCCACTGCCTTCTGTCATTCTCTGGGGCACTACAAAACACTCCTCCACATCAGTGTATATGTCCTTGTGGGAATGGCTCTGTAGAGTCCTTGAGCCAAATGCTCTTTCGTTGATCTCTTTACAGGGAATCCCAGGCCACTTTTACCCACCCTACCCTGAAGAAATTTCCTGCCAGAGAGCATGACTTCTACTGGTCTCTTCTCCTACCTGACCATCATTCAGATACATCTCCCTGGGTTGCCCAATTCTGCACCTCTATATGGACCATCCACCTCTCCTTGTGTTTGAAAAACTGTATCAGTTTCTTTCCTTTTTAGCATCTTTTTACAAAAATCTGTTTTATCTGTATCTGGCTGCTGGCATTATAGCTGTAATAAAGATTTGATTGATTGGTGATGACTTCATATTAATGTGGGCTTTTAAATCACTATCACTGTTATCCAAATATGATCCAGTATCTCCCGGGGGCTCAGAGTTAAGAGAATGATGACAGAAACCATCCACTTTTCAGTAACTGGAAATAAGAGTGAACTGAAGGTACTGCTATCAAGGCCTATACATGATGAGTTCTCTCCCTCCTCCCCATCCCCAACTTTTAAATAAATCTTGCTTCTGTAGATGCTTGTTTTTTTCTGAGTAATCTAGAGCTGCTCAGAGGTGCTAAGAATGTTATAAAGAAAGGACCATATAAATACTAAGAATTCTTATGACGTGGAGATCATGCTATTATTTCAACGGACTTCAAACTCTTTTAAAGAATGAGAAGTCCAGTCACCTGAAAGGTTCCGACTCATGGACATCTAAGGCTGCTCCTCGTATCCTGCCTTCCTTCAGCGCCTGTGCTAGTGCCTTTTCATCAACCAGTCCTCCGCGAGCTGTGTTCACAAGGAAGGCCCCTTGTCGCATCTGCAGGATTTAAAAAGATGAAGCACCATGGCAGTCAGAAATTCTTTGGAACAGAACTCTCTGCAGAAAGGAAACACCTATGATGAAAAAGGCTGCAGAACACACTCAACTGGCCCCTGAACAAATGGGGAAAATATCACCCCATATGTCATTTAAACAACGGTCCAACCCTTTTAATATTCTGGCTTATCCGGAAGCAGCAATGGGGTTAGATCAGTGCCAATCTGCCAGCAAAAGTAACAAAAGATGGTTTCTCGTGGCTTGTTCAACACTACATCTTAACCAGGATCCTTGTGTTCTTCACTAATAAGTTAGAATCATGAGCAAAAGCAAATCCTTGATTTATAATGGGGGGTTTTAACATTTAAACCAGACAACATCTTGGTCAATAATGCTAAGCTGTAATTTTCTATTAGTTTTAACGTATCAATGAGAACACCAAAAACATTTCAAGAGTTGTCCAACATTACACAAAGCTGGCAACATGAAAGTAACAGGGAACTTATTAAAACTAACCAGAACACCTGTACATTTGACATTCATTTAGTGACGGTCTCTGGCAAAAGTAACTTTCAATAATACACTTATAACAAGCTCTTTTTCAACCAGAACTGTTTAAGCTTTTATAAAATTGCAATAAACTGTATCCTTTTATCTTTAATTCTCTGTCTAATATAATACCCATTTCGAAACACATTATGAATTTCATTTGTAAATTATGTCAATCTTGTTCTGCAAGTGGCTGGACTTTCAACGCTGAGACTCAATGCTTGTTCAGACTCATCTGATTCAAGATTCAGAAAGTACAGTGCACAAAGGAGGGCTCCAAAAATATTTAAATGGAAATGGAGGCCCTACTGGATCCATCTCCAAACAGTTCCTTGATGTGTACGTTGTTATTTATTCTGACTTAACAATCCCCCATTTCTACAGTTCTAGCCATTATAACAATAATATAAAATATTAAAAATTATACAAATCCTGTGGCAACAAGACAGCAGATTAAAATTAATTTGCTTCCTACACCACAGGTTCCAAGCAGCTTTCAACAGCTTCTGAAATTAAGAAGCGTCCTGTACCCTAGGGGCTCAAAATCTAATTTGGAAACCAGTATGGCTCAAAGACAGTTAGTTTCTACAACCGGTCTCAAAAGGAGAGGGAAAGATTACTGGGTACCACATGCCACCAACCCTTTGCTTGCACTTGTGATGGTGTGGAGGGCACACCTATGGGTGTAACTGAGTGCTCAGACAGAATCGAACCGAAGCAAGAGACCCTTAAAAAGTTTGGCCCAGGCTTCCTGAATTACCACCCCTTTGTCAGTGGTGTAGTTCGATAAGCAAACTCAGAGGAGCCTCTACAGATGCTCTGCAAGACTATCTTTTATTTCACTCTGCAGGTAAAGACAGAAGCAAGGCCCATTTCTACCAACGCTGTATAAGTGAGCGGCTACAGGTAATCCTCTCTTAACAATGGTAATTGGGACCGGCAACTCCGTTGCAAACCGACACAGTTGTAAAGCGTGACATCACATGACCATGCTAACTTATGACGGCAGTTGCAGTTGCTAAGCCAATTCCGCAATGTCGTTAATTGTGATGTCACATGATCGCCGTTTGAGACTTCCTGCTGGCTTCCCCATTGACTTTGCTAGCGGGAAGCCGGCAGCGGAGGTCACAAATGGCAATCACATGACTACGGAGCGCTGCAACTGTCATAATTGTGAGATGGTCACCGAGTGCCCGAATCACGATCATATGACCACAGGGACACCATGACAGCCTCAACTTCGAGGACCAGTCATAAATCTCATTCAGTGCAGTTGTAACTTTGAATGGTCGTTGAACAAATGGTCGTTAAGCAAGAACTAGCTGTACAAAATATTCTGGGAAATTAAAGATTCCAGTCAATGCTTAAACTTCTCGTTTTATTCTTCTCCACAAGCCATTTTCCATATAAATTCCTCAGTGTGTGCATGGGAACAGCAGGAATTTCTTATTATTCCCTTGGAACACAAGGGGGCGCCAATCCCTCACCACAATCTAATACTTATGGATTATCATGTGCAGAAATGTCCTGATGTTGCAGGTTTCAACTTGTAACTACACAAGTAAATAAAGATCAATATTAGATGGATAATGGCGTCATTTCCCCAAGAAAGAACTTGCTGAGAAATCAATAGTATAGGCCACACTGAAGCTAGCAGGAATGTATTTGCATAGCAGAACATTTCACCTGGTCATGCAGACCATAATAATACATCTGCAATATGGAGATAATGAGAGTACCCTGTCGTGCAATGGCTTCTATAAGGATTTCTAAAGATAAAGTTCACAGAGTACCTTGGACACTCAAAATCGCTATATAAATGGTTATGAACATCATTGTCTAATCTGATAGATCCTTACCTGTTTAATGGTGAAGTCGTTAATCAGGTGATGATTGTGTTCGTTGAGGCTGCAGTGCAGGGTGACGCAGTCGCTATGAAATAACAGATCCTGCAGAGTGCTCACCCGTTGAAGCCCAAGAGCCCGTTCAATGCCATCTGAGAGATACGGGTCATAGAAAATGACATTGAAGCCAAAGGCCTTGGCACGCAGTGCGACGGCTTGACCAACTCGTCCTGCAGGAAAGTATTTTACAGAAAATACACTGAGTATTACTGTCCCCTTTCACAAATCTGGATTGTATGGAGTGCAGAAATGGTTTAGAGCAGTGTTTCTTAACCTTGGCAACTTGAAAATGTGTGGACCAACTCCCAGAATTCCCCAGCCAGCATACAGGCTGAGGGATTCTGGGAGTTGAAGTCCACACATCTTCAAGCTGCCAAGGTTGAGAAACACTGGTTTAGAGTTATATGCATTAGCTTGGAGATTTGATTGTTCCTCACTTAGTTTAAGAGGTTTTAAGAGGTTTAAAACTAAGAGGTGATCGTTCTTCACCTCTTAGTTTAAAAAAGAAGAAAAATGTCGTACTTCCTCATGTCCAAACCAGAGGAAGAAAGTGTAGAGAACTTACAAATCCAAAGCTTATCCAGTAATGGTAAGTCACTGTTTGAATGATACCATACAAAATCTTTCCCATCTTTTAGACTACATCACCTAATAATCCATCCAACAGTACCAAAAGGTCAGACATGTTGGAAATTGTGGGAGAGACTGGAGGGATTCATCCTGGGGAAATCTGCTCTAGGATGGGGTCAAAAAAGGACTTCCTGTGAAACATGAACAAGCAGTGCCAGGACAGCTCCAGAGCTACACACCCTGAGTGAATACCGCTTTATGAATGCTGTAGCATAGGTTCCTACTACCTACTGCATTTCATGCCATAATAAATATCTGTTCATTTATCGTCTTAAATAAATGTAAAATAAAAAATAAAAAATAAAAAAAAGATCAGAGCAACTTTTCTAGAACCTGCATTCAAAACACATTCAACCATTTATAGATATATAGCCACACATGTCATAGAGTGAGAAGATAAGACTTTGTCCACCCGCACCTTACTGTAACCAAAATGGGACTAGGATTCTGATTGCCAGCTGTGACAAAGCCGGTATTTCTATCCATTTTTACTAGGAGTTGGAATAAAGCAGCCCTAAATATCCTTGGCTGTACAAAGATCATTTTGGCCTACCTAACCCAATAATGCCCAGAGTCTCTCCTCTGATTCTGGCAGCTCCAGATGCAACTTCTCGGATCTGTTCCACGCTCTGCACTCGTGTGCCTTCTCGCAAAGCCTGGTGGAGCCAGGTGGTTCGTCTGTACAGATTCAAGATGTGGCACATGGTCGAGTCTGCGGTCTCTTCTACTGATGCAGCTGGGACGTTGCAGACCGCAATCCCTTGAATAACGAAGCACGGTAAGTAACAGCTGACACAGTTTCGTTATGGGACTACAAAGCCATCTTGAACAGCTTTTTGGAAGAGTTAACTTGACACCAATGATATAGTGTACAGTTGAAAACCTGGGGCTGTACCCAGATGACACAATGGTCACAATGAAATCAAAGAGATTTAAGGTAACCAAGATGAATTTTTCAGCTTGATTTCAAGGAGGCTGAAGCACTGAACTTGCTCTGCATCAACCCGTTATGGTCTTTTCTAATTCAGAACCACTGACCTACGTAAAACTTTTTCATTAATTAAACCTTACGTTTATGAACAGATTCATAAATACAATGCTGTATTTAGGAGACACAACACAAAATATATTGCCTAAGCAATTCAAATGAGTTTCTTCCCACAATTTAAAAACTACTTCACTGTACATTTTCAGAATCTCAGTTCATCTAATTTTCACATAAATTTAAATTTTGCTTCATCTCTCAACATTATTTATTCATGTCTCCTCAGGAATCAAAACATACATTTTCAAATGATTCATCCCAAAGCCCAGAATGACATTTGGGAACACTACTACCATACACGAAAACTGGGAACTGCACAATATAGAAGACCTTTTGCTATTCTATTGGATACATAAAATGTCTGGCATGTTAAAGATAGATAATGACTAGAAAAGCATAGAGATTTTGGGATTAAAATTGCTGCAAGTAATCAATTTTGAGTGCATTTACATCTCCGTAAATATCATCAAATTAAATGAGGCATACTCTCAGGGAAGTGGGTATAAGCTTATAGTGTAATGGGCATCAAGTTGCAATATGATTTAAAAATAGTTCAATGAGATAAATTAACAAAGGAACATTGCCAGATTGCAAATCCACACAATCAAACATTTTTGTATGAGGCTGTGCACTGACTCAGGACAAAGCCTAAACCCATCTTGAAACATTTTTTTGCAATCAAAAAAATAAAATAATATACAAGATGTCTATGGTAGTTCATACTGGAGACACACTAATCGCTGCTATCTGAAAGGGTTGCTAAGAGAGCATCAAATGTGCCTTTGGACGAGGAATGCCACCCCGCCCGCCATCCTCTTGAATTCAGTTCCAGCTCTCTCCAAAGATCTGGAAATGGACTCTGCACCACCATGTGATGAAGATCTCAAGCAAAGTGCTTCTGAAGCAGTTCTGTACAGTTGGGTACCCAGAAGGAAAAGGACCATAGAGGACATCGCTTCATTGCAATGGCCAGTCGTTGATCACTTTCTTAAACCGACAAACCATTCTTTTTCAATAAACAAGAGAGAGAAAATTATCCAGTAAGAACAGAGCCTCATTTCCTTCCAGGTTCCATGCTGAGGAGCTGAGAAGATGTCAGAACCGTGCATCCCTAGACTGACAGGCTAGGACAGGCTATTTCTGAAGCATCAAGAAAGACGTACAGTCTCTACACAGCCTTGGGCTTAACCTAAAACACTCATACTTTTACAGCAACTGGAAGTCAACTACTTGCCGGCTCAGTGCATTACAAAACGTAGCACTTGTATCTATTCCTCTACTTCAAAACTGTTAAGAATAAAATTAAACTAAGCACCTGAAATAACTACCCTTGCAAACATTGAAAATGAATACTTGCAATCTGCAAGCTCCTGATCTAAAATGAGACACAACACAAAAGGGGGAAGAATAACACAGAAATGGAAAAAAACAGTTGAAGCTAATATGGGGGGTGGGGGGCAGGGTAATCATCTGGATACAAGCAGTTGCTGTTAGGAGAGAAAAGGGCCTTCTTTTCAATGCCAAATCTTTCTAAATGCTCCAAGGCTGTAATTTGAGTAGATGCCTATTACGGAGATGTGACAAGCCAGTACAAGGTAAGAAACACCTAGGTAAAAGTAGTCTAACACTGCCATGTTAAACTTACTGAATATATCAAAATAACATCCTAATAAAATTTAGAGCCAGTTTGGTGTAATGGTTAAAGGCACCGGGCTAGAAGCCAGGAGGCCATGAGTTCTAGTCCCACCTTCGGCTCAAAGCCAGCTGGGTGACCTTGGGCCAGTCCCTCTCTCTCAGCCCTAGGAAGGAGGAGGCCAGGGCAAGCCATGTCTGAAACCCCTTGCCGAGAAAACTGCAGGGACTAGCCCAGGCAGTCAAGCAGAGTCGAAACTGACTCGAAGGCACAAATTAATAAACACATAAATAAAATTTAAGTGTGAAGTACAGACAGTTTTTATAACCCTTCAGCTGGTAAACATAGACCAGATCTCATTATCTAACATAAAGACTTGGGGCGTTTCCCAGTTTCGGCATGTGATTCTGATCCATCCACCAATTTTGTGCATGTGTAAAAGTACAAGTTGGGCTTTCAGTCCCTCACATTCTCAGCGATCTTGCCATCAATTTTCTCATCAGCCATGCCCGCCTACTGATCTTCACAGCAACGTTTTGGTCATTTTCTGGGGCTCTGGAACCTAACCCCTCAGTTCCTTTAGATTCAAGGTCTCATTATCCACAGCTTCTGGATTTGCAACTGTAAGCTAGAATGGATCCCTGCAAATTATGAGTACCACCTTCCAAACTACTGCAAGATCTGTCTGCTATTTTAATGCCCAAACTTGATTAATAACTATTACTTTCAAAGACATGAATGAACATAATACCTAAGTCACCAGCAGACTTAATATCAATGTTATCAAAACCACTTCCAATTCGAACGATTATTCGAAGTGCTTTAAATTTCTCCAAGTCCTCACGAGTTAAAGTGATGGTGTGATACATCAGGGCACCCACAGCTTCATTCAGTACCTACAAAACAAAAAGAGATACAGTAATTTTTCATACAGGGAAAAATAAACAATGACCCAGTAGTTAGTCTACCTTGCTGTTGAGCTGAAACGCCCTCCCTTCATCCACCCATCCATCCATCCCTGAATTGACAGAAAACTATACTGGCATAAAGTTTTCTGAACCCACTACCAGTCTTTATCCTGCTTTATCCTTTCTTAGTCACCGCAATCCTGTGACTTCCGTCCTAGGTTATGATGATAAAGCCTAATCTATTTTAAATCCATGACACTGCCCTTCGATGATGCCAGAAGAAATGGAAAAATAATACTTTAACATGGGTACAGCTAAGAATCACCAAAACCTATCCCACTCATGGGATGGTGACAAGATGAGGCAACACATTCTGGGGACATTGCAGAAAAAGGATACACAGATATTAAGCTTATTTTCCTCCATGTTGTTTAAGAGGGCAAAATCTCAAGTATTAAATTTTATGTGTTTGGTGGATTTAACTGCATGGAGGCTCCAAAGTTGGTGTTCATCACAAAAGCCCAGTTGATTTAGTGTGTGATGCAAGATTCATTTTTAGTAATTTCCTAGTAAGTCTAAGACATAAAATGTAAGATAAAGTTATGAATTTTCAAACACTGTTCCCTAGTTGCATACACACATACACTCATATCCATCATGTCATCCCCTTTTGGGGTAAACAATTTTATAAAGAGCACAGAGAGAAAGAGAGAGAAAGAGAGAATGTGGTGGGCAAAATAAATTAAAGACATGACATTAAAGAAAGGAAATACAGGTAATCCTTGGTTAACTATCGTAAGTGGGACACGGAAGTCTGTTGCTAATCGATACAGTCATAAACCACAACGTCACGTGACTGTGCTGACTTATGACGGCAGTTCTGGCAGTTCCAGTTGTGGTTGTTAGGCGAATCCCACATGATCATTAGGTGTGACATCATGGTATTGCCATCTGCAACTTCCTGCCAGCTTCCCCATTGACTTGACTTGTCAGAAGCTGGGAGTGAAGGTTGCAAATGGCGATCGTGTGACCGCAGGACACTGCAACCATCATACTTGTGAGCTGGTTGCCAAATGCCTGAATTGTGATCATGTGACTGCGAGGACACTGCAGTGGCTGGCCGTAAATCTCCTCTTTCAGCACCATCATAACTTCAAATGGTCGCTGAGGACTACCTGTATTCCTAGATCTAGTTCATGCCAATGCCATTTGCTATCCTTCTCTATCCCTTTCTGTCCTTGTTTCCACCAATTCATACACCTTCATATATTGATTTTCATTCAATAAACTTCTTCTATCTTTTCAGGATTTCATCAACTCCATCCAGGCATCACTTTCTTGGCCTTCCCCTTCATCTCAACCCATTCCCTTTTCCTCCGTGTGTCTGTTTGGCGACTCGATCTTCATTCATTCATTCCCTCTATCTGACCAAACCAGCTCAATGTGCTTTTTTCAGATGGTTCATTCACTTTTATACTCAGACCACATTCAAATTTTGGGAGTCCAGCTAAAAGCCCCCAGCCCAAATACACCTTCTCAAGGAAACTAAAATTGCCTGCTGAGCCATAAAACATTCAGAAGGCCAAGGAATGCTGATAAGCTGGGAAGATACTGGAAGAAGAGCAGAACTTTGGAAAAAACAAAAGCAAGTAACTTTCTAGAAAGAAGCTATGTTCATAGGATACGGCCTCTTTGTTCTTTCAAAACCCCATTGTCTTTGTAGTCCTGTCCCATTACCTCATAGTTACAGATGTGGACAAAAGTATCACCATTTTCATAGGTTTTATTATTTACAAGAACAGGTTAACCAAAAACAAAGTGAAATAAAGAATGGTGGATCACATTTACTTGTCTCAGTTTCAACTTATTTCACAGCAAATTGGGATTCTTTGAGAAAAAGCAGAGGGGTATCAATACCCTAATGGCCTCACTGACCCCACTAGGCACATAATGTGTTGTATCCAATCAAAATCTGCTATAAGCTATATCCAATCAAATTCTTTGCTGCTGGATCCAATCACATGTATATTCTAATTTGCATTATGTCTATAAAGTGAGACTTTACATCACCCCGCTTTAGGCCAAGTCTTTGCCTCCAGCGCTGCCAATAAACCAATTTGTGCTAATGCGTCCTTGTCTCTGTTGGGAAAATTCTCCTACACTCCAAACTCACTTCTGTGTAACTCACTTCTAAACTCACTTCCACATATGGCCACTCCTATATACAACCGTTTTGCTTCTTTTGTCAAACATTCATCCCTTGTAATCCGCCACACACTTTTCACTATCAGTATTTGCATGCCTTAAAATTTCTCCACGTTCCATGCAGTGCTTTTCTACATTCAAATGGTTTCACTATCTTCAACTAAGCAGTGCAACAATAAAAGAATCATAGAAACAAGGGAGGGCACTGAGAAGTTTGAATGAATCTGAAAACCTTATTATAAGTAATAATGATCTTTGTCAGGCTTGGCTTATAAATTTTAGTGCAGTATGACTAAGAATCTGAACAAGTCACAGATTGCATGATAAAACAAATGCAGAACATGAATACAGTTACAGAGATGCAACAGTGGGAGTTTCAATGGAAGAAGAATATCACATTTACTTCGAACATCATACTCAGAGAAAATCGGTTTTATTCTTGGCACATTTACTCCAGTCTTTACTGCTAAAATGAAACTCTTTTTCTAAAACTTCTTGGAAATATAACAAGCAGGTTGGATTTTACTTCATATGGGGTGGCAATACAGTATAGCCTAACGATATTGAAAATGATTCACTGTAGAATGGAACAAATTCTGAAAGTTACAATCCCAATGCAATATCCCAGTAAGATATTTTTATTAAATTTTACCAAGCCTTACATCCCTTCAAATTATACTGAATTGGCACTGTATATGTTAACAGCTGTAAATAATTATATGCCTTTTATTGAAAAAGACTTTTGATTCCCTCTTTGGAAGAACAACTAACTAAATTGTGGGAGTATCCTTAATATCTTTTAAAAAAACTTTATTTTTAAAAAGTAAACCTGACACAGAATTTAATTTTAAGTGGAAATCATTCCTAGACTACATTCTTTTACATAGAATTCTGCCACACCCCAAATTTGGATTTCAGAGTTCATACTTTAACTTGTTGTATATATTATTGGTGGAGTGCATTATTTACTACTTATAATTTTCTTTCAATAATTTCAACAATGTTAACTATTTTTTTAACTTAAAGCTTAACAGGTATATATGGATTTTGACTAAAAAATGGGTATGAAATATACTATAAGTTTCTAATGCTGCTTTAAATCTGTGTGCCTCATGGTATTTCAGACTTGTTTATCCACTTGCATTTAACTATTTATACCTGATTTTCTTATTTGTAGAAAAATTCTAAAGATTCCTATTTCTTACATTCTTTCAAAATATATAATAAATGAAAACACACACACACACACAAATCTCAATTTTCCCATCCTTAGAAATACTCTACCAAGGTACACAAACTGATCTACAGTTCATTGGAAAAGTATTTGCCCCTCTCCATTATTTTGGATGTTTACATTTCTTTGCCAGTGGACATTATCAGAGACTCGTAGGTGTCCTAGTGTATGTAAATGGAATTACAGTGAACAAGTAACACTGTTTAATGTTTATTTCATTTACTTCATGAACAAATTTATCCATTGCGCAAGATGGCAGCATGAAAAGTAATCACCTCTCTAGTTTTATCAATTCAATTAAGAAGTTAACTAGGACCAGTTGTTGAGTACTTCATTAAACAAACAGGATTACGTAAATTTTACAAACATTGGCTCTCCGCCTGATGGATTCTTCATAGTAGATACAGTACTTTCTACAGTACAACCTTGGTTTTTGCAACATTAATTTTCAGATCCTTACTCCTTGTTGCATCATTCTATCTATCTATCTATCTATCTATCTATCTATCTATCTATCTATCTATCTATCTAATCTAATCTAATTAATCTCTCTTATTCACTGCCATTAATCTGGGTTTTCAAATTCAAACCACAACACAGCATCATTTCCATATAAAAGTACTCATACATTCATAATCCTGACCAACATGCTTCTAATATCACCGCAAACATTCCTTATGTATTTATCATCCATAAATATATTACATACCCACTCCATATAACACATTTTTTAATATTTTGCCAGTTACACAATCAACACCTGCTGCCTTACTATTTTTCAACATTCTCACAGCATTTATTATTTCCTTTTCATCATTTTTACTTGGACAGAATATTTATAACTTTCATTTTAATTCTTTTCTTCAACACATCAGTATCATTCCCATACAATCCTCTATTACATTCCTTCTGGCATTCCTTCACTTCAGTTTTATCCCAGATCATATCATCCTTTTTAATTCCATTCAAGACTTCATGTTTAGATCTTCTCACCCTCTTCTAAACCATTTTATTCCCATCAAAATCACTCTGCATTCCCTCTACTTCTTTTAATCCTAACTGTTCTTTGCAATTATCTTTCTTTCTATACATACTACGCAACATCTTCCTTTCAATCTTGTTTTTTGCAGCAAACTTCTCTTGTATGCATTTTTTATCTAGTCTTTTATGTCTTCATTCCACCAAGCTTATTTTTCATACCCCTTATTAGCACATCTCTTCATTGGCAGTCTAACACAATTATTTTCACTCCATTTCAAACAGCTTCCACATCCCTTTTCCATTCATTCAGTGGAAGATTAATCAATCTTCTAATACTTTTTCATATAAATGCACACTTTCCCTCCCTGCTACGGTGGTACCTCGGGTCACAAACGCTTCTGTTCACGACCAATTCGGGTCACGAACAGCATCATTCGCAAAATTTTGCTTCCCTTCGCAAACTCCGCATCGGGTGACGAATAGGATCCGTGGCCATTTTCCCTGCTCTGACATGTGGTCGTGGCTTCCTGAAGGGAGGGGGACTCTCCCTCCAAACAATAACTGCCTC